TTTATTTCAAGAAAAATTATTATACATATATCTTTATATACATTTTATCAAGTCATTATGTAGTAATTAATAGATACATCATAATAATATGGTAAAAATTATTAATATAATTATTTATTTATTATTTATAATCTAATTATTTATTAAAATAATAATAAAAAAAAAATTTATTTAAGAACAATTTTTGTTAAATAAATAAATAAAAATATATATACAGCTTTAAAAAATAAAATTTTTTTTATTATTAATAATACGTAATAATTCTAAAAATAATTAATTAATAATAATTTATTATTATATTATTAAAATATATCTATTAGTTAATAATAAATTAATAAAATGTTTGATATTATTGTTGATGAATAATGTTTTTACAAATCTTTGCAAATATTTTAATTGTTAATAAATCAAACGATGTTCAATGTTTAATTACATTATAACAAATTTTGATTGTTTTTTTAACTCCTTCGCAGTACTGATTTAGTGTTAAGCCAGTTTTCTGCCAGTACTGATTTTAGAACTTTTCTAACTCCGACATAGTACTGATTCGGTTTTGGAGTCAGTATACTCCCAGTACTGATCGGGTTCCGAAAGTCAGTACCGATGGTCAGTACTGAGTCAGTACCATGTCGGTGTTTAACTCCGTCCTAACTCCGGACATGTCTACTTGGGTTGCCCCCCTAACTCCTTAGTAGCTATCACATAAATAAAAATATAAATAAAAGAAAACATTAATGATAGAAAATAGATATTAAAAGAATTAGGTACAAATATTTGTAATTATTTACATAATGTATGGAATTTTAACACAGAGAATTGGTTATTATTGAAAAGGTCAATGACTTGATTAAAAATTTTCATTATTTCAAAATACAGGGGCGTTTTAATCACTGATTTTATTGCAGATATACTTTTGTTTACATCCGAGAGTTATGTTGGAATATAAAATCAGAAAACAATGGTTGAACAATTTGACTTTTAATAACAAGTTTTAAAACTTATTTAACATGCTCGTCTACCAGTTATACTAAATTTTTGCATTCCTAACTACTTTCACAAAAATTGTAGATTTAAAAATTATTAAAAATTTTCGTAAAATTTAAAAAAGTTTTTTTACTACTGTCAGTTAAAAAAACATTCTTCTCTGTGGTAAAAAAATTATTTATCTAAAATTATCATTATTCAAAATCATTATTTAAAATTATTATTTTAAATTTTATAAATTAATTAATTAGTATTAGCAATTAAAATTTGTAATAAAAAATAAAATTATATATAAGAAAAAAATCTCATGTTTGTAAGAATTTTTAAATTTATTGAAAATCTAGTAATAAAAAAAATTGAAAAAAGTGGGTCCCTGAAGTTGCTATTGATGCTCAGTATCGAAAAATATTTTTTATATGAAACCGAAAAAATCACTCAATTTTTCCCAAGGTTTAAGGTTAAAGAAAGTACTCTTAAAAAGTGTTTTACTTCCTAGGTGAAAAAAAGTGAAATTAGTTAAAATTTTATCACTAAAAATAAGAAAAAATAGTTTTCGTTGCTAAGCATCAATATGCCAACTTCAGATTTTTTTTGTAGAATTGGGATTTCTTAAAATATTTTATCTACGTACATTTCTTTAGAAAATACAAGTGACGAAAGATGAAAGAAAAAATTGGAAAAATTATTATTACTATTAAGATGCTAAAAGGAAATTATTAAAATCCGTTATTTCAAAAAAATGTTTAAATTTTGAATTAAGTTTTGGATTAAGCATATATTTGATTTTTAAAAATTATTTTTCAGTTGTAGAAGTACCTTCAAAATCTTTATAATTTTTTCTTTCAACTTTCGTCACTTTCATTTTCTAAATAAATGTATGTAGATAAAATTTTGTAAAAAAAACCTCAATTCTACAAAAAAATACGATTCAAATGAGCCTATGAACGTTGAAAAACGTTAATTTCTTCGGAAGATATAAAAAATGACCTAGTCAAATCACTGAAAATGTGGTTTTCCTTAAATATCTTATTAAAAAACTAGTATTTTTTGTTGTTACGGTGCCATTTTTTCAGAGTTTTGTACGTTTATTAAAAAAAAGAAAAAAATTTTAGTTATTAGGATATGTTCCAAGTTAAAAGATATTGAATCGTCATTAAAAAAGTAGGGGTCGTACACGGAAAAAAGAAATTAGCTGCAGCAGTAAACATATGTTTGCTGTGAAATCTCTGAAACTTAGCTACCACAGCTAAGAAGTTTGCAGTGGCAGCGAACATGTTAGCTGTAACAGTAAACATTAGTAAAAATTTATGCGAATTTGCTGTCATAGCGAACTTGTTTGATCTCACAGCGAACTTTTTCGCTGTCCCTATTTCAACGAACAAGGTTTGCTGTGGCAGCAAAATGTTCGCTTTCTATGCGTGTACATTTACCGCCGGTAGTGTATATTTAATAAGTAAATACTTATAAATAATTATTTTAAATAAATAATTATTTTTTAAATTGTTTATTTATATATTTTATTTTTTATCATTAAAGTCTGTAAATGTTTTGTTTCAGCTTTTATTATTATTTATTACTTTTATTAAAAAATAAACTAGTATGAAATTTATAACAAAGAAAATCTATGATGAAATAAAATAAATGTGCAGAAGATTTAGTTTGAAAATATTAAAGAGAATAAAATTAATTTTTTAGGGTCAGTCCATTATATTTCATCTGAAGCCGTTGCGGCCTATTTTTAAAAAAATCTCATAATTTGTAAAAATGATGTTTAATATCCATAAAATTCATTTTTGAGAATTATTTTATAAAATTTTTTGAATTTAACTTAGAATTTTAATTTTTAAATTGAGTTGCTCAGAAAAAAGGTTAGATTGACAGTTATGAAAATTTAATAAAAAAGCATGGAAATAATTTAGATAATACAAATTTCAAAATTGATATTTGTTAAAAATGAGCTAATTTACTTGTATAAATAGATTATCATGTAAACATACCCAAAATAATAGATAAAAATTGATTTTAAAATTTACCTATGAAATGTCGAAAGTCACTACATTTTAATTAAATTTTTCTAAAAAGTGTATAAATATTAAAAAATTTATTACTTCTTAATGTAAAGTATTTTCAATGTACTTTCATAATATGTGGTAACTTTTTAATTTTATAATATAGAAATATGAAAAATTTTACCTTTAATATTGAGTGTTTCATGATTTTCATTGATTTTTATTACTTATTTCTTCTCAGGTGCAAGACTAAAAAATCCAATTTTTGTCTTAATATTTAAGTTTGAACTTCTTTTCCATTCTATTAAATTTTGGTGATGGAGAACGAGCTACTTTTCATTTTAAATTTAGTTTAAAAAATCTGCTGAAAAAACGAATTTGTTGGTTAAAATGCAGGTAATTTTATAACACTGAAGTTGGCTATCTCAATAGTCATGCAAAAATCTACTTGCATTTTAACCAATAAATTCTTTTTTCTACCACACGCACCGAAAGTACACCATTTCCTACGTGTTTAGCGGGAGAAAAGTGTATGATTCCCTGCGAGCGGGAGGGAATGTACATTCCCTCCCGGCTAGTGACGTCACCGGGAGGGAATGTAACATTCCCTCCCTGTGAGGGAGGAAAAGTAACTTGCTTTCTCGGTAATATTATCAAAGTATGACCATTGGTGAATCAGTTACGTGAGTTACGTCAGCTAAGTGACTTACGTAACTTACGCGAGTTACGCAAATGGTGTAGTTACGTAACTTACGTAAATGGTGTAGTTATGTTAGTCTTTCGAGTTACAAATAATAAATGATTTACGTAAGTTACGCAACTTACGTTACTTACGCTACTTGCGTAAACCTACGCTCTTTGGGTTAGTTTAGTTATTTTAAGCTTTTCACAAACTTTCAGTTACCACAGTTGTAACTATACCGCCCCCAGCTACAACTATACATTCAAAAGTAACAATCAAACTGCCGCGTTTGTACTTTCGGTATACGTGTGTTAGAAAAAATAGTATGTGCAACTCGGGAGGAAAATTGATTTCCACTCGTGTTTTACAGTTCTCGGCTTCGCTCGCAAGCACTCGCCTTCGGCTCGTTTGCTCGCTACGCCTCGAACTGCAAACTACACTCGTCGGAAATCATCCATTTCCCTCCCTTGATGCACAAACTACTATTTTTCAGCAGATTTTTTAAAATAAATTTAAAATGAAAAGTAGCTCGTTCTCCATCACCAAAATTTAATAGAATGGAAAAGAAGTTCAAACTTAAATATTAAGACAAAAATTGGATTTTTTAGTCTTGCACCTGAGAAGAAATAAGTAATAAAAATCAATGAAAATCATGAAACACTCAATATTAAATGTAAAATATTTCATATTTCTATAGTATAAAATTAAAAAGTTACCACATATTATGAAAGTAGAATGAAAATACTTTACATTAAGTAGTAATAAATTTTTTAATATTTATACACTTTTTAGAAAAATTTAATTAAAATGTAGTGACTTTTGACATTTCATAGTTAAGTTTTAAAATCAATTTTTATTTATTATTTTGGGTATGTTTACATAATAATCTATTTATACAAGTAAATTAGCTTATTTTTAACAAATATCAATCAAGAAATTTGTATTATATAAATTATTTCCATGCTTTTTTATTAAATTTACATAACTGTCAATCTAACCTTTTTTTTGTGCAACTCAACTTAAAAATTAAAATTCTAAGTTAAATTCAAAAAATTTTATAAAATAATTCTCAAAAATGAATTTTATGGATATTAAACATCATTTTTACAAATTATGAGATTTTTTAAAAATAGACCGCAACAGCTTCAGGTGAAATATAATGAACTGACCCTTTAAATAACAATGTTCAACAATATTTTATAATTTAATTATATTTATAGTATTTAAATTGACTATTGCCGAGATACACAAAAAACATCAAATTAATTCATATTATCCATGCAATTTTGTCTTTGATTCATAAGTGAAATTTTGTTCTGTCGCAGTGCTTGACAGTTGACGATTCAATCAATTCGGAAAGTCGAACACCATTCATCAAGACAAATCCAATAATCTAACGCGGCGTGAAAGTATCAGGAATCCAATTTTTTAAATCGAATTGAAGCGAGAGAGAGAGAGAGAGATCGACGTGGTTTGAAAATGTCCCCGCTTGACGAATCAATCCCATATTTCACATATGTTTTCAAACACGCAAAAGATTACAATATACAATTATGACATTTTACAATAACCTCTCATATTTTTTCTCTCTTTTTCCATTTTCAGATTATAAGGCTGGCCTATTCATTTTTCATAATTTTAAAACAAGTTCAAGCTAAAAAGGAATGAAGCAAAAATAATGATGCAAAGAGTGGTCGACAATCCTATAAAGTCACTTAAAATACAAAGAATAAAAAGGAGAATGATACAAAAATTAAATGATCAATTTGATGTAAAAAACAATCTTAAATAAACCAAGGCCTCCAAGCTACTTACCGACATTTACCTAAGTCAAAATTGAAATTAATTAAATATTTATTATCGACACACGAGACCACTAAATGTCACCTAATAAATAAAATTTTGACATAAACTAATTGATAATTCACAAGGTTATAAAGAATTTTATAAACAAATTAACCCATTAACGCCCAAATGACCAAAATTTTTACTTGGACTTCAATACACGATTTAAAGTGTCTATAGACAATAAATTTTAGCAGCAATGAGATGTAGGGGGTTTTGGGGGTCGCTCTTTCAGAGTCTGGGGTCAAAACAGCGATTCGATCAACACAAAATATAATATGGCGGCTATTTTGAAAAAAACCCAAAAAATTAGTACTTTTTTTAAATATTTTTTTTCAGATCTAAAAATTTTTTTAAAACCTTCTTTAAGTATGATATTGGTGGGCAAAATAGTTGTACTTTTAAAATATAAAATAGAGAAATTCTGATTTCAAGATGGCGGAATCGAAATTTTGAAGAAGTAAATGCATTTTATAGTAAAAAAAATCAAAATGTACAACAACATTCAAAAAGTTTGCAAATTCGATTCAAAATGTATACTCGGGGGTTTTCGGGGTCGCTGATGACGAATCCGATGTCAGTTTTTCAAAATTCAAAATGGCAGATCCAATATGGCGGACATTTTTTTAAAAAAATTTCGATTCACTTGAAACTTGTCACTCGAGGGTTTTTGGGGTCGCTGATAACGAATCCAATGTCAGTTTTTCAAAATTCAAAATGTCGAATTATAAGCAACTTTATATAAGTGTATACGTATGTTCAGGATCGTAAAAACATCAAAAGGTTAATTGTTGAATTATTAATAATTGTATTGTGGAGAGAATACTATATTAAAGGTAAAAAAATGGGAAAAAATTGCATTGGGATCTCGTGTTGTTTGTATCATAAAAGTAAAAAAAATTACAATTGCCGGTTTCATAGAACAGCTATAAAGAGAGAGAGCAAAAATTGAAATTCCATTGAAATTTTCTAACGCACTTCACCTTTCCAATAAGTTCATGGGTGAAGTGGATCTCCACGATATACCATATTGGATCAGCCATTATGAATTTTGAAAATCTCACATCAGATTCGTTATCAGCAACCCCAAAAACCCTCAAATGACAAGTTTCAAGCGAATCAAAAAATTTTTTTTTTAAATTTCCGCCATATTGGATCCGCTATTTTGAATTTTTAAAAACTGACATCGAATTCGTCATCAGCGACCCCGAAAACCCCCGAGTGACAATTTTCAAGCGAATCCAAAATTTTTTAAAACATATTTCCGCCATATTGGATCATCCGTTTTGAATTTTGAAAAACTGACATCGAAATCGTCATCAGCGATCCCGAAAACCCGTGAGTGACAAGTTTCAAGCGAATCCAAAATTTAAAAAAAAAATGTCCGCCATATTGGATCCGCCATTTTGAATTTTGAAAAACTGACATCAGATTCATCATCAGCGACCCCGAAAACCCGCGAGTACACATTTTGAATGTTGGTGTATATTTTGATTTTTTTTACCTACTATAATTTTTTTTCGTTAGATATTTCTTTAGGTGTGGAACCTCAAAAAAGAGAATTTTCTTTCCCTCCGTTTTTTAGAATACTTTTTGCCCAAAACATGAAAAAACACATGTTTTTATTCAAAATTTCTCTTATAAATAAAAATGAAGTTGGAAATTTTCTAGTTTTTGAGGTTCCACTTATAGACATGATGGCAATGAATAACACAGGTTTACAAATTAAAAACTTTTTTTTGCCAATCGAACAAAACAATTTTTTTTTTAATAGTAGGTGTTTTTTGAGTAAGAAAATCATAGTTTTAATTTTTTTCCCTCGTGCAGTTTTTCTGTAGCTTCAAATTTTGCATTTTCGAGGTGCGCGCCACTTAAACTTACCTGTAGGAAAATTAGCTTGTCAAAATATAATAAATGAGGTATCATTGGAAAGGTTATTAAATTACCTTTCGATCCATAGGTCACAGAATAAAATTCAACAAAAATTGAGAGAGTTACAGTCGATTAAAGATGAAATTTCATGACAATTTTGATGATTTTTAGACATTTGAGTAAATTCTACTATTCTTTTCTACATCAAACAGGAAAGAATGTTTAGGTTTTAATTTTTTTATTGATAGACAATATGATTACAAAAATTTTGAGCCCATGTGGACCTCGATTGGATTAAAAATGACAATTCTACACTAAATTTAGTGAACGAAACTACTTTCTTCATTTCTAGAATCCTATAAACATTTGCAGTAAAAATTGAAGTAATAAGATTTAGTTAAGCTCTAAAGTTACTAATATCACTAATAAAGGATTTCTGAAATCGTAGATTTCGAATCCAATGTTAGTTTTCTAAATTTCAAACTGACGGATCCAATATGGCGGACAAGTTTTTAAAAATCGATTAAATTCGTCTTAAATTCGTTACTCGGGGGTTTTCGGGGTCGCTGATTACGAATCTGATGTCAGATTTCAAAAATTAAAAATGGAGGATCCAATAGGTGCGAATTCGATGGATTTTAAAAAACTCGTTCACCATTATGAATCCATCCTTTTTAATTTTCGAAATCCGACATCAGATTCGTAATCAGCGACCCCGAAAACCCCCGAGTAACGAATTTAAGACGAATTTAATCGATTTTTAAAAACTTGTCCGCCATATTGGATCCGTCATTTTGAAATTTAGAAAACTAACATTGGATTCGAAATCTACGATTTCAGAAATCCTTTATTAGTGATTTTAGTAACTTTAGAGCTTAACTAAATTTTATTACTTCAATTTTTGCTGCAAATGTTTATGGGATTCTAGAAATGAAGAAAGTAGTTTCGTTCACTAAATTTAGTGTAGAATTGTCATTTTTAATCCAATCGAGGTCCACATGGGCTCAAAATTTTTGTAATCATATTGTCTATCAATAAAAAAATTAAAACCTAAACATTCTTTCCTGTTTGATGTAGAAAAAAATAGTAGAATTTACTCAAATGTCTAAAAATCATCAAAATTGTCATGAAATTTCATCTTTAATCGACTGTAACTCTCTCAATTTTTGTTGAATTTTATTCTGTGACCTATGGATCGAAAGGTAATTTAATAACCTTTCCAATGATACCTCATTTATTATATTTTGACAAGCTAATTTTCCTACAGGTCCTACAATTATTCAAAAAAAAATTCTTTTGTTCGATTGACAATTTCACTGTAAACCAGTGTAAAATGCCGTTTGATTTTTTAAAATCGCTTCATAAGAACTCGAGATATCACTCTTAACAGATCAAAAAAAGACATTTTGAGATAAACGCACTTAAAGTTTTTATTGATAAGTTTGGACAATTTTTTTAAAAAATCATCGGATTTGCTTGAAAATCGTTACTGGGAAGTTTTTGGGGTCGCTAATTACGAATATCGCATCAGATTTTTAAAACTCAAAATGGCGGATCCAATATGGCGGACAATTTTTTTTTAAATAATCGGATTTGCTTAAAAAGTGTTACTGTGGGGTTTCTGGGCTCGCTTATTACGAATATGATATTAGATTTTTGAAATTCAAAATGGCAAATAATCTAATATGGTGGACAATTTTTTTTAAATCATCGGATTTGCTTGAAAATCGTTACTGGGGGATTTTTGGGTTCGTAGATTACGAGTATGATATTAGATATTTAAAATTCAAAATTAATTAATTTTGAAAAATTGCCCGCCATATTGGATCCACCATTTTGAATTTTTAAAAACTGATGTCAGATTCGTAATTAATAACCCTGAAAACCCCCGAGTAACGATTTTTAAGCAAATCCGATGATTTTTTAAAAAAATTGCCCGCCATTTTGGATCCGCCATTTTGAATTTTAAGAATCTGATATCATATTCGTAATCAGGGACCCTAAAAACTCTTGAGCAACGAATTTCAAGCAAATCCACTTGATTTTTAATATTCTCTTCCGCCATATTGGATCCGCCATTTTGAATTTTGAAAATTTGATATCTAATTTGTGATCAGCAACACCAAATACATTTTTGTTTGTCTTTTTTACAAAATGCAAATAAAAAAACATTGAAATCATTCGATTGGGTTCTGCTTATCCGCATATAAAAACATCTTTGACATGGCGAAGAATAAGTTAGTATGTATAACTTTTGTTTTACTTCGAATTTGGCAATAAAATATTAGGAGAGTATTCTTGACACTATAAGAAATCCGAAAATAAAAAATCGATTTTTTTGAGATTTTGAACTGGAATGTCCTCTTAATTTGGAATTTGTTATTAACAATTGTTTATAAAGTTGTTAAATAATTGTGGTCTGTAATTTTTATCTCAAACATTTTGGACGCGATATTTTGTTATTCTAAAGTTTTCTCGAAATTCAAAATGGTGAAAATGCCTTTTTCATTTCAGATTTAAAATTGCAGAAGAATTTTAAAAAATTTATTGAAATGTCAAGAAATTTACAACTCGAGGGTTTTCAGGGTCGCTGATTACGAATCTGATGTCGGATTTAAAATTTCAAAATGTCAGATGAAATATGCAGAAGGAAGTTTTTAAAAATTTATTGTAGTCCCTTAAAACTCGTTACACGGGGGTTTTTGTGATCGCTGAATACGAATCTGATGTAGTTTTTCTAAAATT